AGAAAATGAGCACAGCATTGTTCAACCTAGCATTTTCTTGAAAGCAGCATTTGTGTGTCATTTTCCCCAGTTTTTATCAACTTGACTGTTTACACTGAAACTCTTTAAGGGAATCTTTAGTTAATGTTTGAAAAACAACTGGGGCAGTAAAATGCCAACCACTGAAATGACTGTAGGGATCTTTTAGAGTGTAACAGTCTTCAGAATCTTGGTTGCATTTCATTCACTGTTACTAAAGCATAGGGATACAGGCCACAAGAAGGGCCTGCAGGTCTGTTGCCCCAGAGCAGTCTAGGACAGCAGGAACATAATGAGGCTGCTGGGAGAATGGTTTGGTCAAACCCACCTCCAGCTTAAGGACGTTCCAAGCTAGTGCTCAAATTCTAGCTCTTGGACCCAAAGGACTAAGAATGGGTGGCTACATCCCAATTAATTACACATAAACATGCTTACTATGAAAAAAATTACAAGTCATATGAGAACAAAAGTCTCTGCTCCAAGTATAATTTATGGAGAGCTCTCCCAATATTTAATTATTACAACACATTCCTCATCCTCTTTTGCTGGTTAGCAGCTAAACAAGCTCACAGTGGCCTCCCAAGGCACAGAGCATGCACAGAAAGTGGTTGGGCCCACAGAGCAAGAGCCGTGGGCAGACTGACCTTACACTGGCGTGGGGAATAATGGCAAGCTTGTGCACTGCACTGCTTCAGAGGCTGCTGAGAGCATTTTCAAAGAGTCTGTTGTTTTGCTGACTCCTCCTTTAATACCAATCCATTCAAGTATTTTAATGAGATTATGACACATAAAACTGGTGATGCGGGTATAAGTAGTCTGTTCACCCCAATCTAATGTTGAAGCTGTGTTTTATTTTTATTTACTTCTGCAAGTTAAGTGCTTCAATATTAGCATATTAAAAGACAGCGTTCAATCCCATCACATGCTTTTGGGAAGTCATTAATGTAAATTTAAAAAAAAATCTCATGATCTCCCTTATTTACATAGAAACCTCACTGTTACATAAAGTTACACCATGCTGCCTGCTCCTGCCTGTTTCCTCTCCACTGGCCCAATCTTTACAGCGCCAGAAACTCAGCCTTACCCCTCATTTTACAGCATGGTAATTCTTAAAAAAATTTTACCAGAGGTTAATGAAACCTCTTGCATAAAATACGGAATTCACCAAGACTAGCATACTCCGATTTCGGGGGCAGCATCAGTAACATACTTTCATGAGTTAATACTCAAATATGAGATTGAACAAGTGCTGAAAAATACCTCTGACCTTAGAGGTGCTAAAACATATTTCCAGTTCTTCTGAAAGGAAGCCTGCTTATAGCATGGCTTATGTTGGGACATCCAGTTTTGTTACTAAGTAAATTACCTCAGTACCTCAGAGGACTGTTATATCCACCTGCTTACAGAACACTAAGAAAAACAAATGCCAACAGTTATTTCTGGCTGCATACAAGTGCAGATGATCAATGACAGATCCCATTAGTTACAGAAAAACAATAGACAAAAGGAGCTTCTGTGCTTCCGCAGCTTTGATTACTGAAAGAAAACAGAAATTAGAAAAAGGGGAGTATCCCAGCAATTAGAAAAAGCAAAGTAATTTCCATGAGGAAGGCCCTACTACAGTAACACACAAATCTTATTCACTTGCATCCAAGTTTCTATCAGCTCTGAATTATGGTTGACGGTCAGGACTCCCAGAAACGAAAGAAGCAGAAAGCCTGCCAAGGGGTATCAATCTATTCCTTTTTCCCATATTGAAGTCATGAAAACTTAAAATAATATTAAAAGGCAGATAAAACAAGCAGTGACTAAATTTGTCATGGAGAAACAAATATCACTTGCACATGCACGATGAATATAAAGCAAGCTCTCAGCTTTAAGAGGACATGCTTTAACAACCATCTATAAAATACAGATTTACCAGATACATACAGAGCCAGTAACCTCTCCAGTATCCTAAAACAGATACAGGCAAGACAGCTTGTTTGTTCTAATCTTTGCATCTGAAGCTATTGCAGCAGCTAAATACTTCATAATTCCTACTGACAGTAACCATCAGTCCAAACCTTAATTACATATCTAAAACAGCAGCAATCACCACCACCCAAACGCACTTTGTAGGCTTCCAAAGGATACTGGCTTAGTCTCAAAGCTAGCATTTCCCTTCACTAAGTGAAAAGCAAACAGAGAATGCCCTGAACTTGTCAAAGGCATACATGTAAGAAAGACAACGTCAAGAACATCTGTTTAAAATTCTCTCACAGCATTCCCTTGCATCCTACATGGTGCAAAACTATTAACAAATTTATCTTCTGTAATTCTGTACCTCTTAATTGATCCATATCAAACAGTAAACTATTCTACTTAATGAAAACCAACCAACCAGAAGAAACACCACAGAAGCTGCACTGCTATACAGAGGGTCATGCTTTAGAATCAAGTCTGCAGGCAGATCTGGGGGTTTCTCAAAGTCACGCTGCATGGTTTTCAACACGCTGCTGGGCTTGCTGAGCTACTATCACTAGCTTGGTGGTTTCCAAAACATCACCAGCCCATCAGGCAAACAGAAAGTGCCCCAGGTATTATCAAAGATGCCTTGTTACAAACAATTCCAGGTCCAGAATAATGAAGCCACAGCTTCATAAGAATTCATTAAATACGTCAGCTCTTCCTTAGACAAAGTAAGCACACCAATTAAGCAAAAACCCTGTTGCAGGGAAGAACTGCCAGCAGCACAAGTTATTTTAGCTGACATTACTTCAAAAGAGCCCACCATTCACCATCTGTTCTGGCACAAATTTTGAATGCTAAGAAAGTTTCCAGCATCGCTGATGAAAAGAAAGCAGTCGAAATGCAGAAGTTTGTTTCACTGTTAACAAGAACAAGCATCTAGGACAACTCATATTTCAGCAAGAACAAATAAAAAACTGTACTGCAAGCTTCATAAAATGAATTACAGAGAATTACACTAAGACATACAGTGCCAAGGGGAAGACATGTTGGGAAGATAACAGAGAGCAAATAAGAGACATGTTGCAAATTTTACATCCAAAGTGGGTGGGCAGCTCCACACAGTGGGGCAACAGTTTGCACTGCAGGTAGTAATCATATGCCTATCAAGTTTTTCTGGTTGCCAACAAGATGGACGCTTTTGAAAACTAATGGCTCCACCAACCTGTTGAAGGGAAGACCTGCCATCAAAGTGAACTGTACAGATCAGACAAAAAAAAAAAAAAAGGACAAGGAGCAACAAGGAAGCCAAGGAAATGAGTGCAACAGAGAAAACAAAAGCATGGATAGATTGGATTACCAATATGCAAATGCCCAAACGAACTACTTTATTAGATTAAGTCATCTCTTTTAATATGCAAAGTGTAAACTACAGCAAAAATAATAAGAAAAAGAAACAAAGAGTGAAGATAAAGTAAAATACTGATTCACCTACCATGAAGCAATACTTTTTCAGAAGCAAATTGTAAATGTCTTTCCAGAAACTTTTGGTGAAATCTCACTTGCATGACTATGTGAAGTTTTACTTCTCTATGTTCTAAAAGAATATGAGTTTAACAGGAAGAGATGAAGAAAGTTCAGATAGGTATTGAAAACTTATTTCACAACACAACTTGTTTAGCCAAGCCAAATAAGAAGTCTTATGAGAAGGACTGCACTGCCCTTTGTAAGAACATCAGTGAAAACAAACACCAGAGATGAAACAGAAGAGCAAAACAGTGATACAAAAATAAGTGCTTCAAAGTTCACTCACCATTCATCTGGAAATCAGAGGCCTGAGGTTTCAATCTAATGATAATCTGCCTAGCACTTCAAGCCCACTGAGAGGATGTCATTAATTCACAAACAAGATAATACAAATAATTGTTACTGTGAGGATGGCAGAGAGGATATCACATACATAGGACACAATTCCAACACTATACCCCAGTTTCCTATGATTTAGCCAATGAGAATTAAATACTTCACCATAAATTTTGGGGAGAAATCACTTCCCTATTTCCTCCTACATTTATACAGCATTAAAAATAGAAACACATACACCTATAAAAAGACAACTAAGACTGTAAAGTGAAATTTGGCAACTTGTATGAAATTAAGTATTCTACACCTAAATCTGAAGATTAAGGATTGGACCTATGTGGACCCATCACTGTGAGCAAGTCCGGACAAAAACAGATGACCACTTCTATGTCATGTAATTAATAGATTCATTCTCTCCATCTGATATGAAAAACAAAGTCAGTAAGGCTGGGATTTAGTAGAGTACCTCATATTGTCGATTCATCAGATTTATATAGGTATGCAGATGGCAAAAACTTTAATGAGGGCTCTGTATTAGTTCTGTAGCATTTATCCTACCCACCAGCAGATCAGAACAGTATTATTTTGAGAGCATTCAACCTATTTTCATAAAAGCAAAGAAACGTTGGCCCCAAAAATGAAGAACTCTGCTCAGGGATCTCTCATCTTTACATGGAACAATCCCCACATACAGCATGCTTAAGTCATATGAAAAGTAGATTTCACTAGGCCAATAATTTTCAACAGTAACCCAGGTAAAAATTCTTCTGATATTTAAATTTATTTTTATTAAGCATGGAGTAGGAAATGCATCAATACTCAAAAATCTAGCTTTATTTCTGAAATTTTGTGAGTGTAGTTTCATCACGTATGAAAGATGTCCTTAACAGGAACACACAAAGCTAGACAAAAGCCTCGGTCAACAACAGAAAGGCCATACTTCCACAAGACAAACTTGCCAGCAAAGTCTCCCTATTGAAAACCTTCAGACAAACCCCTTGAACCAAAATCTTTAAAATGAACCAACTGAATCAAAACACGTTTCACCTCTTCACACAGAAAAGCAATCATTATTTCTATTAATCAAATGAAACGTCTTACCTTAGGTAAGGCTGACAAGAAACACACGACCTCTATAAAACACATTTAAGAAAAAACCTTCAGCTTACCGTTACAGACTTCAGAGTCATTCCGTGATAGGTGCCCATGGTATCAATTTTAAAGCCCTCCGTTTCTGCAAAGCAGAAGAGTTTCCTGTAAATCATTATGAGCATAGGAACATAATTTCTAAGTAGACAACATTAGAAATATACTTGAAATTATTTGTATAAGTAATACATATCGCTGTTGCATGTAAACATTCTGTTTATGCTATGAAACCTGGTTAGTATTTAGGAAATCTGTGTTCTCTTTAGGCAGAGGTCCACCTGGTATTTCTGCCTTCCGTAACCACAGTGGGCTTCTTCTGCCACATGGAATCGTTCTAAAGAAATGATGTGAATTTAAATTTTTGCAGTATATAGTATACTACATGCAGTATAATACACATACAGCATCAGAAATTCTCTTCACTACCAAATGAAGAAGAAATTCGTTCTCAGAATGCATTATATTGCAACGCGTTCAACTTATATGCGCGTGAATGCAAAAACATACTCCATTAGAAACTGCTTTAACAAACATAAAATCACAGCCATTTCCTATGATAAACCCACTTCTGCAGTGCATTAAAGCAACATTGTCATTATCATCTGACATACACAGAATAGAATTCACATAAACTCACATTACCAAACTCAAAGTGATAAAAAGTTGTTTGGGTTTGTTTTTTGTTTTGGAACAGCATAAATTGAACCTTAATAAAACAAAGTGCCGAAAGCCTGCATGCGCTCAGTGACTAACCCTTCTGCTGAGAGCTTTCCGAGTTTGAAAAGTCCTTTTCTGTCCTCCTACTGTTAGTAATATACAACCTAAGTCAGCTGAATGTGGCCCCAGAATTTGTGGTAAAACTCTTCTCCACTTGCACATTCCCTGGTCTCATATATCCACTGTCAGCTGAATCAAGCAACCAACAGCTTAATTAAGTTCGTTCTGAAAGTGGCAAAGTAACCACTAGTCACCAGAGATAGACATGATAACCTATCAACATGATGGCTGTGAGCACATACACACACCTAAGCAACTCTTGCTCTATTTCAGCTTGTAAAGATACTTGATACTGCACAGAAACCCTTATTGGGATCTGGAATACCACTATCATTTATTACACCATCTTCACAAAATTCATCAGCTTAAAAACTTACAAACCAAAAACAACACAGAATCAAGTTTAATGCTTGTACTCAAGCCTACAAAAAGTTGAAGAAAAATACCAGATTTTCAACAATGTTAGAGCTCCTTGTGTTTACCATGAGTAAATTAACTTAAATTGAAACCCACACAACCCTGTCAACAATGCAACGTCCTGGGACACATTTATGGTTGTTCATCCTTTCTTTCTTTAGATGAGGAAGATTATCATACAGTTGCAGGAAATGAAGCAGAAAAGTTCCCCAGATTTTATGACTCTCCATTGCCTGGAGAAAGATACCCAAGAGATCAGAATTGATCATACTCCTCTCACTGCAGAGATGGGTATCTACTTTCAGAATGCTGTTTTGGGTTCTCTATCAGGCCTACCACCAAATCCCATGCAGAGAAACCCAGTTGTTCTGCTGGTGCTGTCTGCCATGTCACAGGCCATTTCTCCACTCACTGCACAAATTGACCTCAGCTCCGTTCCTCCTTTATCTCAGCTTCTCAAATCCATCCCATTCTGCTGAACTTTATGTTTTCCAACCATACAGAGTTAATTTTGAGAAAGCAAAATGCAAGTACAGACCATCTGTACCATACTGCCATCTTACTACGAAAAAAAGGCTTTCCTTGTGAATTGATAACACCTTATTGCCTTTCCCTCCGAGTTCAATGTGTAAATACTCATAGCTCAGTGCTAAAGACAATGAAGCTCATCTGACCAGCATTCATGTGGATAACACTTTTCTCAGTGACAATGATACTGGTCACTGTTTCTGGGCAAGGAGCATATTAATATTACATGGGGTGCCCCATGCCCTGTGGCGTGCTTGGTAGAGCTCCCTCCCTTCAGCTGAAGAGATGTCTTTATTGACCTGGGGTGAACAAATCTGTGATGTATAATCTAGGACGATGGTTGCTTGCAGACTGCAGACAATTATTAACAGAGGAACCTTTCCCCTTTCCCAACTGGCCTACTATAGTTTCCTCCTAGCAGTAACATGGGAAGTTCCCACCCATTTCAACCAGGCAGCCCTTAGCAAGGCCAGCAAGCAGCACCCCCACGATGCCATGCCTACCTCAGTTCCTTCCCTCCCAGCACAAACCCTAGTTCTATCATTAGTTCTACACATTTATTTTGCATTTCAATTATTTCTTTCCACCAGGATCATTATCTACTTTGTCCCTAATAAAACCTCCGCTCCTCCTGAATTAATGAAAAAGCTAACCCATGACTCCATCAGCACCACAAAGGGAATAAAAGCTCAGAGCCTGCAGCACAGTTAGAAAGTAAATCAAAGAGGAGACAGGCACCTAGCAGGGAACCAGCTTGTGTTCAACCTCTAATGGTTTCATATTTAAAAAAAAAAAAAAAATAATAAAAATCTACTTAAGTTCAATTTGCCCTGGTTCATCCAGTGAGCCACAAGAGCCACTAAATATGGCCCTGGGTCTCACTCACTTCCTGCTCCCAGCCTTGTGCCAACCCTTCCTTCCAGGAGGAGTGAGTGACTAGGATCCAAAGAGCCAGCTGGTGTAGCAAGCATTAAAGAGTGGGCTCCTAGCCTGCTGAACATTTCCAGCACGGATACAAGCCTTTCAATGCTATTTAGCAGCTACTTAGGAGGTAAATAAAACATTTCTGATCATCAGTAAATAAAAGCATAGTGCCTCTACTATTTACTTATCACTGATTAATGTAAATCTAAAATAAATGAAATGGCCAGAAGAGAATGCAGGTGTCCACATGGATTCCTGCAAACAGTTACCGCAGCCACTATGAGGTCTCCAAGGGACGCCAGGGCCTGCTACCTGCAGACAGTTAGGTCTGCAGAAGAAACCACCTCCTAAACAGCTCAACAGCTCTCAAATTCCCTGCCTCAAACTCTTAAACAAATGATGGATGAGAGTTAACCACTGGCAGCTTCTAAATAACCACAGCAACTCTCTTAACTGACAACAGCATGGACACTCTTACCTCAGAAGTTTCTCGCTGATCCTCTCATTCATCTCATTTTCCATGTGATATTTCTAACAGTCACTTGCAGAAATAAACGCTGCTGACTGCAGGAGCTCTGTCACTTCTACAGTCATACCATTTTTAGAAGGTCGTAACAGTTTCTACGCACAGCACCTTCAGTTCCACTCCCAGCATACAGCCTATGCAAAGCTGACAAATGCTTCCAAGTCAGGAACTCCACAGTAATGGCTTCATTCTCATTTCAAAAATTACTGAGTCTGTTAGCCAGCCTTCTGCAGCTGTTTGTAGAAGACATTCAAGGGCCAGTACAAAAGGCAGAGCAGGATTTCTTCCAAAGTATTCTATGGGGGTAGAAGCTGACCCTGACACAGCTGCTCAAAAGCACTCCAGGGACACAAAAGGACCCATAGGCCACAGTAAAGTGGAGCAGAAAGCCAAGCAGTCTGAAGCACCAACGGACATTCCCCACCATTCAATAGTATAAATGCTGCATCCTCCACTTGACAAAGAACAGAAATGCAATGCATTTTTTCTGTGCCTTCCTCGCCAGCTCAAACCTGTGCTGCTGAGTCATGCAGCAGCATGGATGTAAAAATATTAACAACTGGCTGACAATTAGTTGGCAACTCCAGTTCCAAAATCACAGCTTCATTGATGGGAATGGAAGAAAGAGTTAAATTTATAAGCTATCTACTAAGAAGAGGGTATTTAAGAAGAGATTCTTTAAGAACAGCGCCAAAATGGCAAAACTTTAGATCTCTATTTTTAAACTCTGAATTAGAAACAGAACAACTGCTAAAAAAGCTGCTTAAGAGTCTTCAATAACTTCTCTACCTCCAAAGGCTACAAAATAGTTAGGCTATCACAGAAACTTCATTTAAATAAAAACAGCCCACATTAAATATTTAAAAGAGTAAAGAACACAAGCAAAACTTATCATTAGTGTATTGCAGCAAAAACATTACAACTTTTTCTGTTTGACAAATAAAAGGTTTTATAAACATATCAGCATTGTTCAAATCATCTTCATCAAGGTACATCTAAAACCTAGATCAGAAGAGACTAAACACAACAACTACCAAATAATCAGTTCCAGTGCTTCAAAACAAACTGTTACAGCTAACATTAAGACTATCTATTCCCCTCCAGTTATTGCACGTATTATGATCACAAATTCACAGTTCAATGACCCAAAAATCATCAAAAGAAACATATACTTTTCCTGTATGGTTCACCACTTGTTACCTTTCTAGCATCACCACATATCAACCCGAGTGCTTCTCTCACTTAAAAGATACCAATTACAATCTGCTAATGAAAACATACACAGTAATGCATTGGCTTATTGGACTGATCAGATTCTCCATCATCACACAGACAGATGTTCAATTTCCACACATATGACTACTAAAGTTCAAGGAGCCTTGCATTCACTTAAAGCCCACTGCTCTATGTAAATCTAGGTCACTTGACACTTTGATTTTGAACCTGCTATAGCTCTAGACATCCACTGCCGACACTAATTCAATCTCTTCGACACTTTTCCAAAGAATAATAGCTCTAAAAAACTTCAATTAACATTGTTCTGGAACAATGTTTAGGCAAAAAAGACAAAAAAAAAAAAAAGTCCAGAAGAACATGGCTCTGAAAAACTGGAAAGTCCAAATTCTAAGACTGCCTAAATTGCAGGTGAATAAGATCAAACCAACTACTTTTTTTTTTTCAGCTGTGCACTTTTCAGGACAGACAGCAACAGCTCTGCGGACTGTTTAGAAACAATTCACTACCCCACTTTACACTCGTGGCAATTAAATCTCTGAAAACAAATTTCATTCAACGTAACAGTCTTCTGAATGCTCTTTTTTAGTATTGTATCCCAACAAGTAAAGCTGAAGTTTCAAGCTGTAACATTATAATGAGACAGAAAGCACAGCAGTAATAGCAAAGTAGTGAAGTCTACTTTAGGCTGTGGCAAGTGAGGATAAGCCCAAAAGCAGCAGCTGTGGGCACAGAAAAGGAAGAATATCTTGTTAACCTTGGGATGAGATGCTCTCATCTCCACCGCCTACCCTTAAATGAGGTCCAGGAAGGGGTGGATTCTGGCTCCACGCTTTTTGGTCACTCGGGTTCACTGCACACACCTGAGCTCCCCTGGGTTGGCCCTGCCTTCCCACCAGGTGCTCAGTCACTGCTCCAGGCTGTGACTCAGCATTTCCACTACACAATCCTAAATTCTCAAGTTACACTACTAGAACTTACAAAGTTCTGTGTAAAATTCATATAAAACAATTCAAGGGTAATCTTACAAACAATTACACCCATATTTTTCAAAAGGTCGCAATATTAACAAAGCAGAAAATCACAAGACAGATATGTCTGTTTTCCAGTTCTGAATACTTACAAAACTACCTGCTTACACAAAGCCAGGAAAGCACAAGTGTGACTTATTTTATTCCCCTAACACCAATCTCTTGTACGTTCTCTGCCAGAAAGAAACTGAATCCCATAAGCTTACATATGAATGCAATAATGAAGTCTAACAAGGCATTCAAGCTTTGAAACTCCAGAATTCCTACTCCTATGAACGAAATGGTAAAACTGTACATTAATAAGTGACATTAATAAAACATAAAATGTAGAACTGAATAACAGTGAAGGCAAAGAATAAAACTACAGAGGCAAAAGCAAAGAAAGTTTAGCACAGACAGGAGCTTTGTTTTGCTGCAGATCACTGAGTGCCAGCATGAAAGAAACGAAACCAAAAGGAAGGAAACAGCAGTCAAGCAAAGTAATTGCACTGTTCACCTTCTCACCTCTAAACCATTTGAGCAGAGTGACAGGTACACTGCCAAGTAAGATGTTCTTCCATTGTGGAAATACATAGGATGCACACTGAGTTCTACTGTAAGAGACTATCTAATACATTTACTATGGTATAAATCACCAAGTGTTAAGATACTTGAAGGAAAGCTTTCTCTCTTCTTTCTAGCCATAGCTGCTGTACTAAGATGCTCATTTGTGAGAAAGCCATGACTGTCTTCGTGGTACATAAGAAGCTGCTCTTGGGGAATACTGCCTCGCAATTACAAACCCCTCCAATAAGTACCATGAAAGCAACCTAAACCATTGCAGAAACAAAGCGTGCCCCATCTAACACAAAGATTTTAAGTAAGCCAATCAGAAATGCACTGTGAACCATTGCAAGAGATGGAAAACTAAGGCTGCTATTCAGCAGTCTCCTTTAATAGGAGATCTTTTATTAAAATTCCTAAGTTTACTATCTTAGCCCTGCAAGCTTTAAACTGTTTTTGCTAAGAGTGAGACTGCTATTAGACAACTGCTGTAGTAAACCAAACACAGAAATATTCAGAGAAAAAAACTGAACAAAATAGTTCACCTTTTAAGTCAATGAGATTTAAGATCCTTTAAGGAGTAAGTTCACTCGTGTTACAATTGCCATGTATTCAGCTCCATTTCAAGGAAATCACATTACTTGTGCTGAATGGCATAGGAAAATGGTAATGTTTGCTTACAGCTTTGAAAACCACCTACAATTTGCTTCATTTAGGTTATAGTCCTAAAGTTATAGTTCTACATTACTGCACCCCAGAAGTAAATAAGCAATCTGTTCTGCTGTTCTCTAGAAGTTAAAGGCCTCAGATATCTCCAGGTCCTCTCCTGAGAAACCCAGATGTTATTTAGCAATTCTACACAAATTCCATGAATGTTATACCAATGCCTTTCATAAATCAACCCTTTATTTGAAATAAATTAGGTGCTCATACCAACATATGTTTATGGTGTTAGACTGTTTCTCTAATTTGGTAACATCAGTGACATTCTTAAGCTACTTATTTCTTTAAATGTACCTAGGAGATTGAAAACAAAATTACCTCTGCGTGTGATTAAAGCAAATAATAAAAACGGAAAGTAGAGACATCTTTTATGAAGATGGAGAGTGATAACTTTCCATGTAGAATACGCCCATTCCACAAGCATTCATAATAACAAAAGAACCTTCCAATTGGAAGGAGAGCTGCAGCCCTCCCAGTACTAAGAGAATCCCCAAGACTACAAGCTCAGAATCACTTAGTATACAAAAGCATTTTTACCAATATTAATCACAGACAGACACCTTTTTTTCCTGGCAATCCTTTAATTTCACCATTTTCTGATCTCTGCTCAGAAATTTCTGTGGTAAACCCATGCTGTTGAGCTGCTGGATGAAACCTAACATCTTTTTACTGACAAACGTAACTCTTTATCCTCTTTCTTTTTGAACTACACGCATGAAGTCAACAGACATCATCTCTACATGGGCTGCTTGCTAGAACTACATAATTTGTCATCTACAACAACACTGACTATTCCTTCACTGGAATTTCTTGTAGCAGAGCCCACAATGCAATAAATGTATCAGTACATTTTAATAGTTAAAGCTGGATAAAGTAATTCACGGACAGATATAACTTCACACATTTTCTGTACTCCTCATCAGAAAGCGCAGTGAAAGGAAATCTGCTCGCCAAATGCTCAAATCCCAAGACTAAAAGTTATCAGAAAGAAAACTGAAGAGTAAAAAATATCCAGGGAAGGTTCTCTTTCTTCCCTTTCCCCAATCCCATGCCTCTTAAAACAACTATCAGTCCTTCATATATGCTCTTACAGATTACCTTCATATATGCTCTTACAGATTATTTTTCATTACTTAAAAAGCTAGCAAATGCCTGATCTCACTCCTTCCCCTCCCTCCCCATCACTACTGCAGTTGTCACTGAGTGGGGGTACTAAATAAACTCCACTGGATTGAAATAAAAGTACACTGAAGCCAACGTATGTAACAGGATGTAACAAAATATATGACCAAATTTTCCATAGTGAGTTTCACAAGCATAAAACCCTAGATGATATGTTCACATACAAGTGGGTATTTACAAAGAAAAGTCTATTAGCTTCACAAAGATCCACAATCTGATTTTGAATGTATTTTACATTATCCAATGAGGTGCATAGGAAACAACACTTAAAAATTTCTTATGGTGAGAAATTCTCCTCAGTGTTAGAGTTGATATTTCTCCTCCTCCAGCTACAAACAAAAATGAGTAGCTCAAATACTCTTGCTTTTTGTTTACATAGTGAAAATAATCGTGCCATTCCAATACAAAATTTGAACAAGATCAGCTACAGTACAGCACATAGAGACTGAGAATTCACACACACTGTGTATGAATGCTTTTCTCTTTCCCCATACAAAAAAAAAATGTATGGTATTAACTACAACAAGGCCAAATACACTGCAAAATGCAAGCTGGAACTGTTCACCTGCAGTTTAAAGTGATGTTTAGCAGCACGTAAAGTTTTTGAGGCCCAGAAAAGAAAGCCTTTGGTATCATGCCTAGGAACTTCCATTTACAAAAATAATGATTTTGTTTGAGAACCAGAAGGAAGAGACAACCAAGACAAGTAGTAAAAATTTGCCGTGGCTCTGCGAGAAAGCCACATGCAAATATAACACAGTGCATACAAAACCAAACACAGCAAGATATGAAAATAAAGGTACTCAAATCAGCACTATACCTTGAGATTAGTAAGGCCAGGACAAAAAATTCTAAGTTCAGAAAGAAATCACCAATCAAATTCAAGCTTCAACTCCACTTAAAAACAACTGAAAATTCTTAATCATCGTGGATTATTTCCATCTTCTCTATAAGGAAGTTAATATTTTGCACATTCTCTTTTTTTTTTTTTTTTTTTTTTTTTATTACAGGTACATGCTTTAGTAATATTTATTTACAATTACTGACAGCAACTTGCATGAGGAAAGGCAATCTATTTCATTTTATGCATCATGTTTTCAGTTTTGGTAAGGGGGTGTGTTGTTTGTTAGGTTCAATTTACAAATTGCATGCAATCTTCCAAAAATAAAATACTGTTTTCTTAAGTTTTCAGCTTTCTTCCTAAACGGTAGGAATAATTCCTATGAAATAACAGATTCAAATAGCAGATAGTCTTATTTAAAATACCTCTAGGTACAGAAACAGCTTTTTTTGGGCTTTGTGTCATTGCTTGTCAAACCTATGCAATCTGCAACCTTAACTTTACACTCATTGGTGCCATTTTTCATTTTTATGTTTATAATTATTTACTTTGAAAAATATCAATCAGCTTACCCTCTTTGCCTTTGAATCTTTCCTGATCATATCTGTTGTAGGCAGCTGGAATAGGTTGCTTATTTCGTAAGGTAGGATCCTAAAACAGATTAAATGAGGTTTGTAATACATCGTGAAAAGGTATTTGTTGGTTCTTAAACTTCACTATTACTCAGAATAGCCTGAAAGCATAAACTCAGTTCACTTTGGTAAGACTTGAAATGCCTTTGAAAACTTCTGATGCATTTAAGCATCCACTTACAGAAACAGTTTAGAAGTACATACTGATGGGAACTACAACCTTAGACAAATCAAACAATCAGTAAGAAACCACATTAGCTAAAACTTGTAAGCTGCGTAAATTCATAGATTTTTTTCTAATACCTCAAGGTTTTAAAGAAAGAACTGACAACTCATGGTTCAGCCATACACACAGTATGTACCTAGTCAGCTTGACTGAGCTAGTAATACATTACACCCTCAGAATAAAACCAAACTCAGTGGAAAAAAAACATCATTTGCTTTTTTTGTTTGTTACAGTGGGGTTTTCTTTCTTTGTTTTTCAAGTACCTAAAATGTGCCAGTAAGTACCAACTCATTCCCTCTGTGTATGACTTAGTTCTGTGGTCTTGTTGTGACTGTTCTGCATGACATATTAATAGTCCAATGTACTATTTGTGAAATTCAACATAAAACAAACACTTAAATGTTGAAATTCACCTGGCCACATAAATTTAGGCCTCTGTTAGAGGCAGGAGTAGTTAAAATAAACCAAGTTAAACATATTTTACAGCAGACTGCCATGAAGTTCAAGAATATGTTTAATATAGGCTAACGGTAAATATCATAACACAGAACAAACCTTGTCTAATACCTAGACAGCTTAAATGATAAAGCTGTAAGATTGTCCTTCTGATTTATTACAGGCAAAAGAAAGCTGGTTCAAGCTGTTCCCACTCATGAGTCATGTTCCAGATTCTTAAACATTTGCTACCCTATCTGTCAAAAAACCAGCAAAACATTTTGTTTTAAATGGCAGTTGTCTCATGTAATACATTTTTTCCAAGTAGATGCAGAATATCGCTAGTGTATGATACATACAGAAGCTGGCACTAACACTTCATCAGTAAGTAACAAGAACATACTGAACAAATTAAGCTAATATATTCAGCTCTTTAAATACCAGTCTATGTAACTTAAGGCAAAGAATATCTACGAAGTTGTGCTGGGAAATTATTCGTTCACTGGAATGAAACTAAAACAAATTTTGTATTTAATAATGACAAGACATTCTACTCTCAATTTGAAGTGCCAGCCCCTAAAGCCACCAAAGTGCTGCTCTTACCGTAGGTGCTGTATTTGGTGCAGGTCGTTGCTCAGGTGCTCGGCCTTCTTCTCTGGCTTTTACTGATTGAAGAATTGCAAAAATATTCTTGGCAAAGTTCTGAAAAACATTATCAGATATCAGTGAATCTTACCGACTATCTCTATTTCAAGTAACACCAACACAAGTAGAAAATACCACTTAGTTAACTAGTGTCTCATAGAAAAACAGAGACACAGCACAAGTTTTATAAACAGAAGTTTTCTGATTATTTTTGCTGTAACAGAACCCAAACATAAGCAGCTCCTGGGCAGACTTGCCACCTCTGTTCCTTAAGACTTACATGCTCAAAAGACATTGCTGAATCTAACTGGCATCATTACAACACCAATTAAACCAAGCTATTCACAAAGAGCTAGTATACTAATTTCCTTGTCTGTTCTTGCCTATCATGCTTTGCTGTAGCAAGACAAAACAAAAACAAATAAACAAATAACATTAAAAAACAAGATGTTCACCAAGGATTTCCAGGACAAATTCCAGTTACGTATATGCTAAAAGGTGCCCGTCTGCTCACTGCAGTCTGAATTAAGAGCAATCAGTGACAATAACTGTAGTAACTTGAGGCAGTGTTTTGTCAGATAATTCCAAGTCATTGGGACACAACCATACAAGTTATAGCAATCAGTGTTTTTAAAATACATGCATCTGTTCACATGAATAGGCTTGTTTTACTCTAAGCAAAATTGTAGGTATTAATTTAACTCTTGAAAAGTTAAGTTGTTTAAAGTTAAGATGTTTAATGTTAGAAATACATGTGTACAGAATGCCCTTCATTACTGACAACTTTCACCAGTGTCAGTATGAGAAAATTTTTGTTAATGAAAATGACTTTTTAGTATTTCAAAACAGTATGAAGTATTTTTATATATTCATATATATTTTTATATATGAAGTATTTGTAAGTCTATATGCTCAGACTCTTCCACAGCATTGTATGCTAATCTTGAAATGTTGTCAGTTAAGGCCAATAGCATCACAAACCAAATGCAGAAGTTACACAACTAAGACCTCTGGGGTGAATTGTATAGAAATAAATTAGAGATCTCGAAAGAGCAAAGCTTCTCTAAGCTTCTCTAAGCTTGCTCCCTTGACAAGCACGTTGCCCATTTATTCAAAGGCAGAAGAGCTGCACCTGGAGACCTCTGGAAACCACTTATGAAGGTAAAGCCATTTACTGCACAAAATCTTTTCATAAAGACTGAGAGAACTCACGCAGAAGCATATTTCAAGTTCTTTTCTATCAGAAAAACCTTGGTAATACCCTTCAAAGAGCTTGAGCCATGTGTATATCAATTATATGCAGACACTCAAAATCAGCTCTGTTCTAAGGAAAACTAAATTAACTGCATGTTTTTACTTGAAATTCAGAGTTCTCCTGAAGTCTGGGCTGAGCAGCACAACAACCACAATTCCCGTCACTGCTGTGCTTCATCACATACTATCTCTTGGAAAGACAAGCTCCTCAGTCTTCCAAAACGCGGGAGAAGAAACTGATTAATTAACAAGAACAGGAATTTAGAGTTTAGACTGCCCATGGAAAAGCCAAATCCTTCCATCACAGAGGAGCTGCAGCCAGCTTCCACGTTTCTGTTTCATTCTTAAAAAACATGGTTTACATACTCTTCAAACTCTGTTTAATTTCCTAAATAGGAATTTTTCAAGGGCATTTCAGCATCTCAGTTTTTAAATAACTGGACCAAACTTCAATTTCCATCAGGGTGAAGAACAACAGGATATTCTCTAGTCTGCTGAAAAGAAGTTGTTATTGAGCACGAATTACAAAGTGTTCTTGCTGATGTTTTCTCTGACAGCATCAAAATGCAGGTCCCTCAAGGACACCAATAATGTCTATTTAGACAGACAAAAAACAGTGCCTTAGCAAGCACTCAAACTAAAATCACCATCTTGCTTTTTATTGTTTTGTTGGGGATATGGGATTATATTATGACAAAAAATAATCAAGCAGAACATCCATTGCAGGTACTGACTGATTTGCAAAGCCCTGAAGAGCGGAAAGACCTCTGAGTGCTCATTGTTCATCCCAACAGAGACCCAGAATACAAACGCGCTCCGGTTTCTACCCAGATTTAGTTGAATTTCATCTCAAATGCAACATTTTTATTATCAAAAACTTCCAATGTGGGGCACAGCCCAGAAAAATGAATAAATCCATCTCTCTCTGCATTAGGTCTTAAAGAAATCTGAATACGCTTCAGAAAGAATGCTTAAGAAAACCCTTAGTATAAAAAGGACAATTTCATCAATTCTTCTGTTTTTCTGCCTGTGCCCATGAAAGATCTCTTTGTTAATTCCAGCCATGTTTACAGCTAATAATAATTCATCCCACTGGGGGAAAAAAAAAAAAAAAAAAAAAAAAATCAAAGAGGCAGAATGTTTCAGCAGCTGTAACAATCAGGATTCTGCTGTTTACTTAAATAAAGCTCTACATTAATAGCTCCCATCTTCCATCATTCCTCTTAATACTGGACCCATGCTCTAGGGATAGATTGGGAAGGGAAAGCAGCAGTAGCCAATAGAGGATCAAGGACAGCAGCTACAGTCAGCTAAACAGTCAATCATCATCTTACAGGAAGAATCCTTACAAATTATTGAAGAAAACCTGCAACAATACATAAATTCTCCAGATGTCATTCCACAGATAGGTCACTCCTCAACAACACAGTGACTAACATGCACCAAGTCAACTAACTCTCACTAGAGTTAACTTAATAGGAATTAACTTGTTTGTATAGTACATCAATGGAGTAACTGTATATTTAAAAGAAAACCTTTTGCATGCTTAAATGTAAAGCACACATTTCGATCCAGAGTCCTTTAGAGAAGGCATCACTCTCCTACGTCAAGACACTCTAAATATCTTCCACACAAACTGTTCACAAATATTGAAGCTGATTTTCACCTCTTGCTATTCTAAAACGAAGAGCCTCAGATTGCTGCGTTTAGAACTGCGTGCTCAGTTGCCCTCAGGTTCAAAGGTTGAACATATCCAAGATTAATATTCAGGAACAGCTGCAAGCAAGCACAAGCATGCAAATACAGGTAGCCTGGTTACATGAACTCTGGATGTTCTCTGTACTGTGCTTTTTGAAACTGTAACTGATTTCCATCATTTCTGACCCAACATCCTTCCTAACACGGGAACTTTTCAACAAGACCACAGATAGAAATACGATTTTGGATGATACTAGGCTGTGATGAAGTAACCCCTCTTCCCATTTGCATTCTCAAGTTTCTGCTGAATAATAAGTAAAAGCACAAGATGCTTAATAGGTATGCAGAGGGCTTGTGGAACTTAAACCACTTTCCATATGCTTTTGGCCTGTAAAGACTGTAATACAGTCATTCATACAACAGAACGATTGGTACAAGAAACACAAACAGCTAAAATAGACCACCTGAATATACACACGTCTCTTTAGTTGTGCTTTCAGAGCAACTGCAATGTAAGGAACAATTGGAATGTATACAATTAACAAAAGCAGAATTTAGGGAAAAAAAACATTAAGCTGTCCAATAGAGTATATTAAAAAATATCAATAACACTTCATTTTTGCTAACTGCTGAGGAAAAAGAAAATTAAAGTCACACACTCCCTTTCACAGAAAAGCTGCTCTGGGAATCAAATAACATTTCTCCAGTCAAAACATTGAAGTATTACTACAGTCTACTAAAATGAATGGAAAACGTGCAGCTATTAGCCCTGTATATCTGTGGAGTGTTCTCAGTAACAAGTTTCACTCCTCACGTGGTCTGTATTATATTTCATTCACTAGATTTTGACAGCAAACTTACTGTAACAAAGACCTGCAAAATATCTGATTTGAAACAGAATCCAGACTAACTAGGAAACATGAAATGCTGTAATATCCTGAAGATAGAAGAGAACTACATCTGTTCTGAACACTTACTTGCAGATACCTGAATTTACTTCTTATGGGCGTATGTCATACAAAAATACAGTCTTCGCTGGACTTACTTATTAAATCACAGAACAAGTGCCCAGGTATGAGGTAACTTCACAGCTAAGCTAAATTTCATTCAGGAAACACAATTTGGTTACTACTTTCTGACACTCTGGAGGTACCTTCTTACAAAACAAGGCTCAGCATTGTTCAATATGAAAACAATAATCACAATCTGATCCATTTTTCTTTTCAGTGCTGTACACAAAAAACCTATCGGTTAGAATCAAGCAGCAAAACAACAGCCTTCCCACTTAGCTAATACAAAACACAGAATAAAGTAGAGTTTGGGAAACTAAACCCACTCCATTACACTTGTGCATAGCCATTTTAAAACCATAGCTTTCTTCCATTTGAATGCACTATGAGATATTAACCCGGCACATCTTTGCCTGTTCAATTTCACTGTTGAATTAATTCACTACTGTGAATTTCAGGAACGTGGAACAACCCTGCCACCTAGGGCCCATGAGCAAAATTGTTTGTACAACCAAAATTTCTTTTAAAATTTGCAAAATTTTACTTAGGCCACATAGCTGTTAATACTAATTAAAAACATCACCTTAATCTTGCTGTAAAATTATTTGCATTTCAATATTTACTGACTTTATTGCTATGAAAGCTCAAAACAAACAAACAAAAAAACCCTATGAAACAAAATAACCAAAGAAAGTCTCATAGCATTTACTTCAAATGTGCCAATTATTGTTAAAAGGGTCAAGCCTATAATTAAAAGACATTCCTTTCTCAAAAAAAACAGCGTGTGCAAATACCGTCTGTGTGGGTCATATTTTCCAAGCAATAACACAAAATCAGAAATATCGAGCACTGTAAAGACGAGATACATTGGGTCAAAATTATGGCTCTTGCTATTGGATTTGTGTATGAATTGAGAAAACCAGAGAGGAATAATATTCAGAAGTCTGTTGTTCAAAGCAATGCACAGTGTGAGTGAAGCTGGCAGTTGTGGGTTACATCCAAGGTAAATGCAACCCAGCAGCAAAGAGCTAATCCTCTGTCTAGGTCAGCTATCAATGCCCCAGCTGTTTCGCTCAGTTCTGGCCTGCATCACCA